ACAACATGCAAGAACAGATGGGCAGTGGAAGCAGAGAGATGGAAATGCTAATAAAGAATCAGGAGGAAATGCTAGAAATCAAAAGCGCTGTGACAGAAATGAACAACATTTTGGATGGGCAAATCAGTAGATTGGGCATGGTCGAGGAAAGAACCAGTGAGCTCGAAAAATGTTGGTACAAACTTCCCAGGCTGAAATGCACGTAGAAAGAAGAATGGAGAAAACAGGGGGTGGGGCAGAGGGACAGAATAGCCAAAAGGGTAGGACAATTACAAAATACACAACATGTATGATGGGGATACCAGAACGAGCAGAAATGGAGAAAGGAACAGAAGAAATATTTCAAATAATAATGACTGAGTGTTTTAAACAATTAATGACAGACACCAAACTACAGTTACAGCAAGCTCAGGGAACATCAAGGAGAATAAATACCAAAAAACCTACACCTGGGCATATCATAATCAAACTGCAGAAAATCAAAGACAAAGAGAAAATTTTTAATGAAGCCAATGGAATAAAATACCTTACGTACAGAGAATGAGGATTCAAATTACATCAGAGATCACTTCACAAACCAAGTGAAGTGGAATATTTAATGGACCATATAAAGAAAAAACCTCTGACCTAGAAATCTGATCCAGCAAAGCCATCCCTCAAAGGTAGGAAGAAGTACATTCTCAAAGAAAAAGTGAGGAATTTGTCTCCAGTAGACCTACCTTGCAAGTAATGTTAGAAGCTCTTAGATAATGTTAGATCAGAAACTTAGATCTACAGAGGGGTTCCTGGGTGGGTCAGTCAGTTAAGCATCCAACCTCAGCTTAGATCATGATCTTGTGGTTCATGAGTTCAAGCCTGGCATCAGGCTCTGTGTTGACAGATCAGAGCCTGATGCCTGCTTCAGATTCTCTCCCTCTATCATTCTCTCTCTCTCAAAAGTAAATAAAAACATTTTAAAAAATAACAAAAAGAAACTTAGGTCTACATAAAGAAAGGAAGAGCATTAGAGAAGGAATAAATGAAGCTAAAATAAAATGTTTCTTTTTCTTATTCTTAATTGATCTGCTAGGTAACTGTTCAAAATAATAATAACAACAAGATAATGGGTGATCACAGCTAATGGATAGGTGCAGTGCCCAACAGCAACATGATAGCAGAAATTGGGAATACTCTACTATATGAACCTGTATCTGCTGACTGTGAAGTAGTTGCTTGAAAGTGAACTTAAATTGGTTGTACATGTACATTGGAAACACTAAATCAATTCTTTAAAAAAGTATAATTGACATACTAACAGAGGAGAGAAAATTGAATCATATAAAATAGTCAATTCAGACCAGAGAAGATAAAAAAAGACAGGAAGACCAAAAAACAAAACAAAACAAAAACAAAAACAAAGAAAAAGGGCTACACATAGAAAATAGTTGTAAATATGGTAGATATTAGCCCAACAACAAAAAGGCATACTCAGGGAAACCTCGTTTCCTCTCACTTCCTTTCTGGTCCCCTAAACCCCACAGACAATTATTTTTATTAGCTTGTTTATCTATCCCACGTTCCTTTCCAGGAAAAAAAAAATTAAACACACAAACACACCCTTAGTATATTCCAGTATTCTTTTGCAATTTGCTTTTTTCACTGAACAACTTATCTTGGAAACCAGTCTATCAATTCTTAAGGATCTCCCTCATTGTTTCCCAGGCGCATAGCCATCAACTACATGGATATACCACAATCTTTTCAACGAGTCTCCCATGAATGGTATTTGAGTTCTTTCCAATACTTTGCTTCTAGAAACAAGGCTGCAGTACTGGTCTGTTCATATGTTGTTTCATATTTGTGGAGGTGTGTCTTCAGGGTACATCCCTGGGAAGGGGATTGGAGCATCCAAGGCCAAGTGCTTTGTAGTGGGTTCCCTTTGGGAGGGGCTAGACATGTTGCACCCCACTGTAGCTTCCCCAAAGGAGTGTTGTTCAGGTCTAGAACTTCTCTCAGAATGAAAGGTAAGAGATGGCACCTTGGTGTAGTTTTTATTTCTATTTCTCTTTTTCAGAGTAAAGTTGAATATCTTTTCATATGCCTAAAAGGGCTATGTGTACATTGACTTTTATGAACTATGTGGTTGTCTTTTGCTCATTTTTCAGTCAAGTTTGTGGTCTTTCATCCCTCCCTTTTAAAAGGCTCTTTATATATTAGGATTACTGTTAGGCTATATACTAGGATATATATTATTAGGAATATATATTTGTCTATAATATAAGCTATACTTATGATTCCTGGTTTCACCTCTGTTGTGTACTTTTTGCTTTGCTTACATTGATTTTTTTAATCATAAAAGGTATATTTTTGTGCAATCAAATTAATCAGTCTTTTTATTGATGGCATCTAGATTTTTCACCATATTTAGGAAAGATTTCTCCACATCTAGGTTGTAAAGGAATTCATCCACAATTTTTAAAGAAGATTTTACGTTAGCTTTCCAATCCAGTTTGAATTACTCAGGTTTATGGTATGAAGAACTAATTTGGTTTGATCCAAGTCTAAGTATATATTACAAAACCATTTATTAAAAAGTCTCTCTTCTCCCCCCGGGCCCCAATGATCTGAGATGTCACATATAACATATTCTCAATTTTCTTATGTTGTTAAGTCTGTTTCTGGTTTTTGTATTGGTCTTTCTGTTGATGCACTAGTACTGTATGTTTACAGTAGTTAGCCTTCATTTCCCTTTTGTGTGATTTCCCTATTTTTGCATGTTTATCTTTCCATTTGAAGATTCAAATCATTTTGTCTGGCTCCAGGGGGAAAAAAAAAAACCTCCTTGGCATTTTTATGGAGATGTTGATATCTTTATGATGCTAAACCACCTTATTCAGGAACAAGAGGTAACTATTTGCTGAAGTTCATTTTTGTGGGAAGATATTGGATCCTTAATTAGAAATTTCACATCTTGTGGGGCACCTGGGTGGCTCAGTCAGTTAAGCAGTTAAGCGTCTAACTTCAACTCAGGTCATGATCTCACAGTCTGAGTTTGAGACCATGTCTGGCTCTGTGCTGACAGCTTGCAGTCTGGATCTTGCTTGAGATTCTGTGTCTCCCTCTCTCTCTGCCCCTACTCCTGCTCACTCTCTGTCTTTCTCTCAAAATAAAATAAAGACATAAAAAAGTTTAAAAAAAAATAAATTTCACATGTAAGATAAATACAAATAAACTGATAGACAGACAATGTTAGTGACTGCAGAGTTTTAGAGGTAAACAGAAAAGATTCACAGGTACTAGAAAGAAGACGTTGATTTCCCCATAAGGCATAGACACTCCAGACATCTTCTCAGCAGCATTAGATGCCAGCAAACATGAAATAGCTGCAGAAGAGCAATTGTCAATCTACAATTATATACCCAGAGAAGCTATAAGCTACCGCTCAAGAGTGAGAACCAACTACAGATATTTTCACACCTAAAAAGATGGAAAGCTTTTATTTCCACAGATGGCCTCTGCAAGAAAGCTTCTAAAGGATACGCTTCAGCACAAAGAGAAAAGTTCATGCTAGTGAAGGAGTGGGACTAAAGAAGAAAGAACAAATACATCATTAAATAATTTGATAACTTATGAACTACTGAATCTAGCAAAACTATTTTTGTGTTTACAAAAGAGAGATGTGAACTTCTATAGGGCAGTAACATGGAAAATGGAAAGGAAGAGGTTGAATTTTCTCAGGCCCTTTTTTGGCTTAAGGGAAGAACAGAGACACTACATAGTTTTAGGCTTTGAGAAAAAGATAAAGTATATTTGTTTAAAAATTTATGGGTAGCAAAGAAAAAAATCAGAAGCATAGGCTATCATTTCCAGCACAATAGAAGGAAGGAAAGGAAAGAAAGAAACTTTATCAATCCATAGAAGAAAGTGGGGGTGAGAGAAACATAGTAAATAGAAAAATACAAAACAAGTTCATAGAATTAAGCCCCAGGATATCAGTCATCACAATAAATGTGATTGGGTTAATCTCACCTATTAAACATCCAATTGGATTTCAAATACAGTCATATGCTGCTAATAAATAAGAAACACACTTCAAACAAGATGACTCAGAGACGGTTATGATTATAATGTTACTTTTAAGTTAATTCTTTGTACCTTGCTGTATTTGTTTGTTGGTTGGTTTTTCTCTGTGTAAGGATTTCCATTTATTTTGGAAAACAACTTGTTCAATCAGACCATCACCTCCAGTCTGTTGGGGTTGATCCAACTCACTCAGTCACCAAGTACAGCCACTGTTCTTCCAGGTTTCTGTCCTGTCCCCCTGTGAATTTTTCAAAAGTAGTCGAAAGAAAGAGCTCTAAGGCACTGCATTAGAGACTCCAACTCCCTCATAGTCCTTCTTTGCATAATTTCATTCAACAAGTTGCAAATTCACCTGGCCATCTTCTCTTTCATCCTATTTTCTCATCTTGTACAATATTTTAACACAGCAGGGCTTTGACCTCCAGGACACAGTAAGAACTCTGGCTAATGACAGACTTAGCACAATCCCAATTGTTTTGCTGTAAAATCCCCAGCAAACTAACCCCCTTTCTCAAGCTGGAGAAGGAAAACATCCGCTGACACACTGAGGCTGCATTCCTACTGCTTAATTAGCACATCATGCACTTCCTGTACTTCAAAATGCCTTTGATGTCAGTTCTTCTGTCTTCGGTTTGCAGTAATAGAGAAATAAAGGGTCTAAGTCAAGAAACAATATCCGAACAGAAGCGATTGCCTCGTACTAGTCATTTGGAGTGTTTTAAGTGTAGCTTCCTTAAGGCGTTCATTGAGGAGTTGGGCTAAGACACGCCAGTGGTGCACCTGTCTCTTTCAGCTGATACAAGAATAATTAATTACGTGAAAATGACTTCCATTGGAGGTTAATTGATTTTGGCTGACAGTCACATACATACGCAGATATGTCTTAGGCTGCAGTGGAGTAGAGCTTTATTTAGAACATTTTATTTATATCTTGGGTGATTTCATTCCTAAGAAATTAAGGGAGAGAAAGAGGAGGCAGTGCAGGGAGGCAAGAAGGGAACATTTCTCACTGTTTCGATTTTTGGTTTTTACAAAAAAGAAAAAAAGGCCAATGTCATGGCTAAGAACTTAGCTTTCTCCCCAGGATATAGTAGAACTCAGACACACTGAAGGGAAGGATCAAGCATGCCCTGAGGGCAGGTAAAGAGTGGAGGGCAAGGGCAAGGTGATGGCATTGACGGGTTTTCTGTGGGAACTTCATCCACTTCCTTCCTTCTGAGAGGTTGGCAGTGGGGTCCTGGTTGCCACCATGCTGTGTTTGAAGACAAGACAGAGTGAATGTAGCACCTCAGAACTGGCCCACCCACCCCCAACAGATGTGACCACAGTCTCCCTGGAAGCCAAGAGGGACTCTTCTTTCCAAATAATGGCTAAGCTTTAACATGACTTTTGTTGCATGCCAGGAACCTTCCAAGCATTATCTCAGTCCATCCTCACCCCGTGTAGTAGGCTATTATTGCCTCCATTTAATAAAAGGGGTAAACTGATGCTCAGAGAGGTTAAGGAACATGCTCAAAGTTGCACAGCCAGCCAATGACTGGGGCTGACTCTCCAGTTATGCTCCGCACAGCTGCTCTGTAATCATTGTTAGTGTTACCCAGGAAAATGGCCCCTCAGCATCCCTGGAAGGTCTTTTAAATTCCTGACGTGTATCCATGAGTATGTGTGCAAGGGTTCTTAAATTTCAGGCTGGGGTGGCACTGTCACCTCTGAAGAGGAATTCTGAGGGCTCATATGAGCGGTTAGCCTACCCTCTGCTTCACCGGCATATAAAGCAAGTGAGACCAAAGTGTGAGAGGAAACTTTTCTGGGTCATCATCTTGCGAGCCCATCCTCATCAGCAGCTGTTACTGCTGGCAGCAGAGTCCCCACAGGGTGCCAGTCACACAGGGGTATCAGACCAGGTCCCAGACCCCAGGCCACGAGCGTGTAATAATAAGGATATTCACCCTTCCCAGCAATACCCCCTCCCATGCATTAACTGTTTGCCGCATGCTGGAATTTGGACCCAGATCTGCTGACTCCTCGTCCACTGCTTACTTAGCCTTATGATTTGGGTCTGGTCATTTCAACTCGTTTCCTCTATGGATGATGAGGATAATTATGCCTGTTTTTAAAATAATATCTACTTAGTCATCGCTTTATATGCAGGATGTATTTATGTGCATGATTTCATTAATGCTCACAGATACTCTCCGGATGCCTACCTTCATCTGAGGACACCACACCGGGGACTGCAGCCCGCTGAAGGCCACACAGCTCACTTTGTGGTGGAAAGAAGATTTAAACCAACTTCTGGGAGACTCCATGCCCCAGCTTTGCCTCCAGGGGTATCGTAAGAATGAAAGATGATGTGTGTGACCAGCGTAGAGCAGGACTCCGTCATCGCTGGTTAGGCGCCGCTGTTACGATTGCCGTTCCCACACTGGTCCTGCTCCATCTCCTGGGTGAGTTTCCAGATCACCGGCGCTGTGACCCTCCCCACCTCTACACTCCCCCTCCCCCACCTCCACCTTCCACCAGACAGGTTTAGGAGAGAGGTGAATTGCCTGCAGAGATCGGGGTAACCAATTCTAATCTTACTTTAAAATAGGTACTTCTTTTAAAAAACAAAACAAAAACAAAACCTGTTCAGCTAGATTGCCTGGTTTTCTTACACAATAGCTATCTTAATGAAATCTCAAGTTCATTTGCCCCCAGAGCCTCTTAAAATGAAAAGCACCCACGTTCCCAAGACTGGTCTAGAAACGGTGCGCTGGGGTAACCAGACACCTCTGTCAGCAGCCAGTTTTAGGAAACAGACATACCCACCTGCCTTTGCAGCAAAAACAGTCACTAACTTTCCAGCAGGTGTCCTGTGTCCACTCCAAGTGCCGAGAAGTGGAAAATCACCATTTCTGAAAAACAAGGTGGTACTGCCTTGTGGCCCTGAGAGCGGCGCAGTGTGGTGGCTAAAATCCTGCCTTTGGCTCATTCTGCCTGCTTTGAAGTCCCAGCTCCGAGGGATGCCTGGGTGGCTCAGTTGATTAAGCTTCCGACTTCGGCTCAGGCCATGTGGGTTCGAGCCCGCATTGGGCTCTGTGCTAAACGCTTGCTCAGAGCCTGGAGCCTGCTTCGGATTCTGTGTCTCCTCTCTCTCTGCCCCTCCCTTGTTCACACACTGTCTCTCAAAAATAAATAAATGTAAAAAAAAAAAAAAATCCTAGCTCTAAAACTGGTAAAAGCCCCTCTGTGCCTCAGTTTCCACATCTCTATGATGGGAATAAGAAGACTAGCCCCATAGGGTTATTGCTTGGATCTGATAAACCAATTCACATGGACAATGTGCTCCCAGCCGTTTTTGGGATGCAGCCATACCTATGGCACTATTAGGAGTCATATTATTTATAATAATAATGATACCCACGAACGTCGTTTTTATTGTCATATAGAAATAGGCCTGAACTTTCCATGTCTGTGGCAATACAGCTCTTGGCAATACTTTTATAGGCAGGTTAGGATAATCCAAAAGCTTTGGAGTCTGCATCAGAACCAGGTAGGTGGGGTCAGAGCCTACTGCTGGGGAAAGAGCCGGCTGGGGATTAGGGGTGCGAGAGGTTAGGACAGTCTAGAGGCCACAGGTCCAGGTGTCACTGGAACCGTCTTGTGGCAGGGCCTGACATGGGGTCAGGGATGGGTGGACTTTGGGAGGGGCCTCCATCAAATTCCAAGGGAGCCTGAGATGAGCCTCTTTACTCAGCCTCAGCTTTGCTTCCTACTGCAGACCCTTCCAGAATTTGAGGGACCAGCTCGTTTGGGGGAAATAGAAGGGAAGTTTCCAGAAAGGGTAGGCCCAGGAAATTCATTAGACGGCTCCAGACAAAGGTGAGAGAATTCTAAAAATAGCCATAAGCCATGGACTTTTGTAGGGGACCTCTGCGGGCGGGTGGGGGGTGGGGGGGTGGGGGAGTGACAGTGTTAAATTTTGCCTGAGCCCTGTGCTCCTGGGAAACAGCTTGGTTAACAGGTTCCCCGCCCTTTTGTGTTCTGGATACAAAAAACGCCCTTTGCCGAGACTCAGAGAGGACTCAGGGAGGCTGCAAGGCCAGACGCAGAACTGCAGACCCCTCTTTTGCTTCCTTGGAGGCTGCCCTGCTTGTGCTCAGGGGTCCACTGGAAAAGACACTGCTTGGCCAAACTTGGGTTGAGCTTCTGCTTCCGCAGGAGCCTGACCTCTGGCCCATCCTCAGAGAGAGTGGGCAGCCAGCCCCTCCAAAGGCAGGCCAGCCTCCAGTGGGTGCGATGTGCACCAATCCACACCCCTGTCATCTCTAGCTCATGCCTGCGCAGCCTGCTTGCCCACACCCCTTCTTCCCAGCCTTGCTCCCTCCTCCCTGTGAAAGAAAACCCCTTTGCCTAACCTTGCGTGACCTTGCATGACCTTGCCACATGACAGACCTGAGCTCTCCCCACATCGTCACCTTCACTCCCCTTAGTCCCTCCTTACTGAACCCGGATTTGCTTATACTTGACGGGGCAAATCCTTGCGTGGGATCTCCCCAAAGTTGCGTTTCCGTAGAAGGCTTGGGTTTTCAGAATGCGGAAGAAACAGGGCCCCTCACCCCAAGGTCTCCACGAGGAGCCAGGCAAGCATATGCCTTTCGGGTGGGGTACACGGGGCCTTGAGAGTAGCAGAGATTCCGCCTCGTCCCGTCCCTGCTGCGGAATTCTGTGGTTTGCCCAGGTGCCCAGAGGCATCTGTCTGCTGCCTTGTTTGATCCCAAGTAATTATTTGTTCTGTGTTTAAAAAAATTTTTTTTCTGTATTCTTTTGCTGGTGCTACGGCCCACGGAACTCCCTTTTTTCTTTCGGTTTCAGCCCCTCACAATATTGCACAGCTATGGGAGAGCAGCCAGCGGTGTGGGCGGTGTGTTGAATAATACAGAGGCCGCCGCGGTAAAATAATGAGGAGGAGCCCGCGTGGTAAGGTGCGGCTCTGGAGGGACCAAATCAGAGATTCCCAATTAGGGGTTCACAAACAATGTGAAATGGCATGGTCAGGATTGACTCCTGATAAGAATGTTCCAGCTAATTAAAATGTCAGAGTTTCAAAAAAAAAAAAAAAAAAAAAAAAAAATAAAATGTCAGAGTTTCCTGGTTCGCCAGGATTTATAGTCAACACCTGGGAAGTAACACTTGTCCGCTGGTCAGTTCCTGCTGATAAGAAGTTCTGCTTGACAGTTACTGAGGTCTTTGATAAATAAAATATGGGAAAACAGATGAATTATTACTTAATAAATGCAGTGTTGTTTGTGAGGTTTTCAGAGCAGAGAGGTTGTAAGCTGGCAGCCCGCGGGCCACAGGCAATCCTTGGACACCTTCTACTTGGTCTGCACAGGAGTTTTGATTTTATTTTGCTGATATGAGCCAACATTTAAAAGAGGAGATAGCGCGCGCGCGCACACACACACACACACACACACACACACACACACACTTCACATCCAGACCTGTGGCTTTTCTTGAACACTGACCACACGGGCTGCATGTCTTGGCAGGGGTGAGGCTGAGCACTGGCTGCCGCTCATGGATGGGACCCGTGGCCACCACCCCTTCCCAGTGTCCCGATGTGGCCACATGGTGCACATACACTGTGTCTTGCTTTTGTTTTTTCTGGCCTGATTTTCCTCATTGACTTTATCTAATGGCCTCTTTATGTGCAGGGTGGGCAAATTACACCCATGACCCCAGTCTGTCCCCCTGCCTGTTTTCCTAAATAAAGTTTTATTAGAAGGTCTTGAGCTCACCTGTCTATGAAGCACGGTGCTGCGCCACACTTCACTGGCAGAGGCAAGCAGCTGCCCAGAGCCCATCTGGTGGATGAAACCTAAGATACGTATGTCATGGTCCCTAACAGATGACGTGCGCTCACCTCTGCCCTGTGCTGCTGAGTTTGTGACCCTTTGGATTACTACTTTCCCCACGTGCTGCTTAACCTCGGGCAACTGACTTACATTCTCTGAGCTCTGAGTGCTTCATCTCTGAGATGGGATAGGGTGAGATTCTGTCCTCTGAGATGGTTGGGTGGGAGAAGCAAATGAACTGAGATGTACACCTGGCACACGATGGGGGTGCTCTGCCCCACGCGGGACATGTGCTGACATTATCAAAAGTCTGGGTGAACCTGGGTAAAAATTAAAAAGGAACGCCTTGTATGGATTTAATGTTAAGAGTTGTCACAAGGGGACTTCCCAGCACTGCCAGAGGCTTCATCTCCCCCACCCAACCTGAGCCAGCAGGGGAGAGAGACACCGTGCACAGCTCAGCTTAGCTCCAGAGAGGAAATGTGGTTGAGAAGTGTCCCCGGAGCACCAGGCTGGCCAGAACGTGCCAAGCCACATGTGTGGCATCCCATGAGCTATGTTTTTGGAAAACCCTAGAGAAAATGTTAGGAGAGTGACAGGCAGCCCTTGCTCAGAGCCTCAGCTGGGGGCAGGGACCCTTCCAGCCCCACAAATGGGGCAACTGCTGGGCGTGGGGGCTCGCAGTCTGGGTAGGGGTCATGATGGTGGAGGAGTCAAAGTGACTCCTACCATTACTCCCTCAAATGTGGGTGAGGGATAAACACCCCCACCCGCCACCACATCATCCCCAAAATCGCTCATACCACCTTAGCACCTGTGACGTCACCTCTGTTGCCCCACAAATACTGACTGAGCACCTGCTATTACAAAGTCACCAGAGTGGACAGGAGACCCCCTCGTATGGAGGGGTGGTGGGCACTTGACAACCCCTAACTAGAAAATATCAGCTGATGTGGTACAGAGGACCGAGGTGGGTGCTGTGTTAGACAGAGCACGCAGGGAAGGGCTTTCTTTGGGCAGAGGGGCATTGATCAGAGACCTGAAAATGCAGGGAAGTGGTCATGTGAGGATGGGAGGCGGGGAGGACCGGCACTGCAGGTAAAAGACACGACAAGTTCAAAGACAGCATGATGGCTCCGCACCTCACCTGTTAGTAGGTGTGGCTGAAAGGGGGTCCACAGCCCACACTGTCATCACTCGGGAGCTTGCTGGGGTGCAAATCTCGGTCCCTGCCTCAGGCCTGCTGGGTCAGAACCTGTGCATGGACGAGACACACAGGTGAGTTACATGTCTGTCACAGGTTAAGGAGCCCAGGACAGAGCACAGTGGAACAAGCCCAGAGCCAGAATGGGAACAGAGAGAGCACCCCAGATGCACAGGGAGCCACCCAATGCGAAACAGGTGAGATGGCCCCACACCTCTGTCGTGGCTCTTTTGCTCTGATTTCAGTCCTCAAGAAGGACTTACGGGACATGCATTTCATGAGGTGCTTTCCTGACACAGGGTGTGCTGCATAAGTAACTCCTGGCGCCAGGAGAGGAGTGGCATCACGAGTCATGGTATTTTCACACATGTTAAGACCAAAGGAAAACAACAGCGGCGTTTGCAGGAAGTTTGCTTCTCCGTCAATGCCCTGAGTGACTTCTTTGCCAAATACGGGAATGGTTAGCTAATGCTGGAAGAACATTTCCTTAATTCTTTGTGCAATTTATAATCTAATGCGACACACTTTTAACTTTTTCCTACATTATTCAACATTTCTCCATCACTGTCCTAAATCTAAACAATCAGCCGAATGGTAAATCAAGCTCTGATGTGCACTGTTTGCTGATCCCTGAGGTGTGGATGCTCCCATCACAGCCAGTGGCCAACATCAGGCTACCGCATTGCTCTACAGTATGTCCTACACAGACTGGGTATGTAAGCAACTTCCAGAGCAGAGATCATCATACAATAATTAGGAAGGGATGACTTTCCATCATTTCTTCATTATCTTTGTTTTCAACAGAATTTTTAAAAAGTTTTTACAATCTATTTTTTCTTTTTTTAAAAGGTTATTTATCTATTTTGAGAGACAGATAGAGCACATGGGTGGGGAAAAGACAGAGAGAGAGAGAGAATCCAAGCAGGCTCTGCACTGTCAGCATGGAGCCCAGTGTGGGGCTCGATCCCATAAACCACAAGATCATGACCTGAGCTGAAATCAAGAGTTGGATGCTCAACCGACTGAGCCACCCAGGTATACCTACAATCTAATTTTTAATAATGTCTGTGTTTAACCACCAACTTACAAAATTCCTGCAATTTAATGGTTGGCTCTGCTGAGCTGGTAGGAGCTGACTCTGATGCAGCACTGGGTGGGGGCCTCAAACACTCACAGGACAGACATAGCATAGTCTTCGGAGCAGAGCAGGTTACACTTTAGTGAGGCATCTCGAGCTCCATGAAATCCAGCTTCTGGTTTCATAGGCTTGGGGGTGGGAAATGAAATTGGCTCTTGCTTTGCCCCAGCCCCCGCTCTGGCCTAGGAATACCCTTCCTCAGGGGTAGCCCCGAGGACTGGACCCCCACAACCCCCTGCACAGTGAGCTCAGTGGAGACCCGCTGAGACAGGAGAGGAAGAGGAACCAGGAGACTAGAATGGACAGTGTCTTGGAGAGGAGATTGGGGCAAGGTCGCCTTGACTTGCCCTTCCCAACACTGAGCCACTACATGGAGGAAGTGATGGCGGAGCATGTAAGCTCTGGAAGAGGGGCCTCTGATGGCTGGAGCCTGGCCACTGAGGGTCAGACTGCTGGGCTTGGAGTCAGGAAGGGAACTACCTTATACATTGATCGCCTACTTCGGGCACTTCGGATGACTTGTACCCTATCACCTTTGATCCTCGAATGGCCTGGTGGGGTTGGAACCTTTACCGACCTCATTTTATGGGAAGGTGAAAAGGCTTACCCAGCATCACACGGACACGAGGTGGCAGAACCGAGACTGAGATGCAGGGAGTTGAGAATGCTGCCTGCCTGGAAGGGGCGCCAGTGGCACCCAAGACCCAGGCCAGCCTTATGATAGAGTAACAGTCCAAATGGAGTCCCTTCCCGTGCCCCCAAGTAAGGCAGGGTCGTTACTGACCATTCTGAGTGACCATCCCTGTCTGCTCTAGGACCCCTTTATGACCTGTTCCTCCCCTCCCGGGTTCAGCATTATTTCCCTTTTATGATTGTTTTCCTGGAAATGGAGCTGCAGGCACCCCTCTGTGTCCCAGCCACGATCCTTACTACATTCAATTATCCTGGTTTATTAGGCTCTTTAAAGCGACTTTACTGCTTTCTCCTTGCCATGACCTTAATCTTCGTTTTTCCTCTAGCTTTCTCCAGGGTTATTGCTCGTCAAGAGAAAGGTCGCCACGGCCTCAAAAGAAACAGGGAATAGGCAATAGGAGGTTGGCTTCTGGCTACCCGGTTTGTTTTCACCGATGTTAAATTGATAGATTGAGAGGGAGGCGCCTGCTGCTTACCTCGTCTCTTCTTAAGCTACAGTTTGCCAGACCCTAGTTTCAGATATAACCATCATTACAGTACAAGTCCCTATTCGCACAAGGTTTTCTTTGTAGCACTGTGCTTTCCTAGGCATAAACGTCTTAGTTACTTCTTAAAACAATCCTGTAATGCAGGTGGAGGAGGTATTATTATGCCCATTTTACAGATAAAGAAACAGAGAGAAGGGAAAGCTCATGATGAGGAAAGAACCTGAAGTTCTAGCTCAGGGACAAGATAGAGTCTCCTCATCCCTCCCAGGTCTTCTCTCTTACAACTAAACATCCTGGACCTGACACAACAAAGAGGCATAAGAACGGCTCCCCTCCCCCGAGCCCTGGCATGGGCGAGGCTTCTGCTCCCTGCCCTGTGACACGAAAGCAACGAGTGTCAACTCTCTACTTGTCCCACCCCTGTGTCCGTGACACGAGGGAGGGGGAGGCTCAGAGACAACAGGGTGGCGCAAGGTGCTTCTCCAGTTTCACTGGGAAGGTGTCCGCAGAGCCAAGGGCAGAGCTAACTGTCACCCACCCAACAGCAGGGAGGCGGAGTCAGCCCCCCACTTTTGCTGGGACGGTGTCAGTGGGGTTCAGTGGGAAGCTGAACACACAACCCATCCAGCCCTCATGCTCCATCTCGACAAAGAGACATCCTGCTCAAGAAGAAAACAGAATAGGATCCAGAGTCTCACACTGTAATAGCCCCCAAATCCAGGACAGAACAGAAAATCACTCCTCTATCAGGAATCAAGAGGGGCGCTTGGGTGGTTCAGTCGATTAAGCGTCCAACCTCGGCTCAGGTCATGATCTCGTGATTTGTGGGTTGGAGCCCCCATAGGGCTCTGTGCTGACAGCTCAGAGCCTGGAGCTGCTTCGGATTCAGTGTCTCCTTCTCTCTCTGTCCCTCCCTTGCTCATGCTGTCTCTCTCTCTCAAGAATAAAGAAACATTAAAAAAAAAAAAAAAGAACCAAGAACATCACAACGTGGATGAAAAAACACAAGCAGCAGTCCCCCACACAGACATGAATCGGAGGTTGGAATTATCAAGAATTTAAAAGCAGCCATCCTAAGAATGCCTCAAAAAACAACAAGGAATTCTTTGGAAACCAATGAAAAATAGAAACACCTAGTAAAGAAATAGAAGTCATATTTAAAAAAAGGAACCGAAATGGAAATTTAAAAACTGAAAAACACATTTACCGGGATAAAAGCCACAGAACCCTCCCTGGATAGGCTCAGTAGGAGAGTGGAGATGACAGAGGAAAGAGTCAGCAAACTTGAGTTTGGATCAATAGGGTTTCCCGTTCTCACTAACAGAGAGAAAATGAGCAGGAAAAAACCCAACACCCCAGAATCTCAGAGAGCTTGAGACAATAAGAAAAGAATTAATACGTACGTCTTCTGAGTTTGAAAAGGAGAAGAAAGAACAGGATTGATAGACTGTTCGTGTGTGTATTTGTGTGTAAACGCGCATGTGTATACACACACATAATACCTATATATTAATGATGACGTTAAAAAGACCTAAGTGGAAGTAAGGTTTTCTTATACTTTACTCAAGTGGTAAAGTTTCAATACCAGTAAACTATAATAAGTTGTGTACGTATATTGGAATCCCTACAGCAACCAATAATTTTACACAGTGTCTCCCACAAAATAGAAGAGGAAGGAATACTTCAGACACATGGGTGGCTCAGTTGGTTAAGCGTCTGACTTCAGCTCAGGTCACGATCTCACAGTTTGTGAGTTCGAGCCTCGCATTGGGCTCTGTACTGACAGCTCAGAGCCTGGAGCCTGCTTTTGATTCTGTCTCCCTCTCTCTGCCCCTCCCCTGCTCACGTTCTGTCTGTCTGTCTCTCTCAAAAATAAATAAACATTAAAAGAATTTAATGCAAACTGTTTTTGTAAAGTAATACTTCCAGCTCATTTTATGAGGTTAATATTACCTTGATGCCCAAACCAGAAAAACATAATGAAAAGAAAGAAAAAATATATAAGCCAATATTTCTCATAAATTTAGATGCAAAATTTCTCAACCAAAATTTTGGCAATTCGGATCCAATAATATATTTTAAAAAATCATACACCATGACCAAACGGGATTTATTCTAGGGATGCAAGAGTGGGTCAATATTCAAAAACTAATGTAACAGACTAAGGAAAAAAAAAACATATGATCTTATCAATTTATGCAAAAAAAAAAATACCACCATAGCACTTTGGACAAAATCCAACACCCGCTCATTATAAACACTCTCAGAAAACTCAGACTAGAGGGACATTTCCTCCATTTGACAAAGAGCATATACCAAAACCCTTCAGCTAACATTGTACTTAATAGTGAAACACTACGAAATGTTTTCTCCATAGGACTGGAGAAAAAGGAAGGATGTCTTTTGTGCATGGAGGTTTTAGCCAGTACAATAAGGCAAAAATAGGAAATAAAAGACATGTAGCTTGGAAGAGAAGACATAAAACTATTTACAGATGACATGATTGTGTTGGAAATTCTAAGAAGCCTCAAAAAAACTTCTAGAACAAATAAATGAGTCCAGTCATGTCACATGATAAAACACCAACTCCCACAAAAAAACAATCACATTTCAGTGGACTAACAACGAATGTGTGAACAGTGAAATGGAAAACACAATAGTTCCAAGGCAAATGAACCACTTTGGTATAAATCTAACAAAACACGTGTAGAATCTGTATCTTGCATGTTATTAAAAAACTAATAAAATAAATGGAAAAAGACCTAAGTAAGTGGAAAAACATACCATGCCCATGGACTGGAGGATACGACGACACAGGAAAAGATGTCACTTCTCCCAGAATTGATCTACACATTCACTGCAATTACTTTAAAAATCCTAGCAAGATTTTTCCTAAACAAGCTTATTCTAAAGTTTTTCCGGGAAAGCATAGGACCTAGAATAGCTAAAAATGCTCTTAAAAAATACCAAGTTGGGAGAAATTTCTTTATTCAATATTGACACTTACTCTACAGTTATAGTAATCACAAAGGTATAGTTTGGGCGGAGGGAATAGCCCACAGATCACTGAAACAGAATAAAGAACCCAGAGAAAGACTCACAATTGCCTGACTGATTTTAGAAACAGTAGAGGCTCCCCGGAGGAGGAAGAATGCTGGTGCAAATGCACACGTGTAAACAACAACACCAACAACAAAACAAGCCTCTATTTAAGCATCACGTTTTATACAAAAAGTAACTCAAAGTGAATCATGCACTTCAATTAAAAAGATACAATTTGGGGGGAAAAAGGGAGAAAAATCTTTGCAATATAGGGCAAGACAACAATTTTATGCCAAGCACATTTAAATAGAAGGAAAAGCATTTAATAGAAGGAAAAGTTGGTTTTTGGACCTCATCAAAATTAAAAACCTTACTCTGTGAAAGATCCTATTAGGAGGATACAAAGACAAGATATAGGCTGGGAGAAAATATTTGCAAACCACACATCTGACAAAGGACTCATATCTAGAAAAATAAAGAGCACTCAAAACTCAACAGTTAAAAAAAACCAAACAGTCCAGCTAGAAAATTGGCAAAAGGCATGAACAAACATTTCACCAAAGAGGACACACACAAGGCAAACAAAAACATGAAAAGATATTTAACATCACTGGCCAGTAGGGAAACCCAAATTAAGGGCACCCTGACCTATCACTATATACCTATCAGATGGCTCAAATGAAAATCAGTGATAACACCCAATGCTGGTGAGGATGTGGAAAACCAAAGCACTCACACAGTGCTGGTGGGAATGTAAAAGAGTACAGTCACCCTGGAAAAGAGTGTGGCAGTTTCGTGTAAAACTGCACACAAGCTTACTGTTTGACCCGTTCCCAAAGTTCTTACTAATCAGATGGCATGATTCTGGGCGGTCCGGCGGACACAGCACTGGAAGCACCACACAGAACGCATGTCTGGCACGGGGAAGGGGAAGGTGGATTGGGTGGTGAGGAAGATTTCTCAGGGAACTGAGGGAGCCACCAAGAACAGCGTTGATGCCAAGCCATGCCAAACATACGATAAGGTGCACCAAATGCGACGGGGTCAAAGGGACGTCCACAGAACAGGGAGGTCCAAGGACACCTGGTGGAGGAGGCAGTTCTCAACAAGCACTGAGTGTGGCCTTGACCTGCTGACCCACTTCTAATGGACACAACCCAGCAAAGGTGGTAGGATGCCACTTCTGAGATGAGGTTACAAAAATCCATGACTTCCATCTTGAGAAGTCTCTCTCTTTCTCATTTTGACACTCTACAATGCTGTGAGATGACCACTGGAGAAGTCATGTGGCCAGGACGTGGGGCCTGCCTCTGGCCAATAGCCCAAGAGGAGTGGAAGCTGACCAGTGCAAGCCGACCAGGACTTCTTAATGGGGCTGGAAGGGGATTCCGCCCCCGGTGGATTTTGTTATGACCTTGGGCCCAGCTGACCCCTTGAGTGCTGCCATCAGAGAGACTGCAGGCCAAGCCCCAGTTCCTGCCTGATGGAAAGCATGAGATAATACAAGTGTGCTGTTTTATGATGTTTTGTTTTGGAGGAATTTGTTAGGCAGCAAGCAATAGCTGATATAGGAGGTGAGGTCTCTCATCACCCACCAGGTCGGCACAGGCTTGTTCACATGGTGGCCGCAGGATTCCAAAAGAGACAGCAGAAGCCTGTGAAACCTCATGGGGTCTTGGCTCAGAGTCCTTGAGGTGTCGCTGCCGCTGCATCGTACTGACTGTTGCAGGTCTGGGGTTCAAGGGCGGGGAAATGGATCCCGCCTGTGGCTGGGAAGACCCTCAAAGTCACAAAGGCACATTGCAAATAAGCTTGGACACAACTTTGCCAACCATCAACCAGGGGCCTGCTTCCAGAAATGTCTTGCTTGGCCAGCCCCCAGGGTGGAGGTCAGAGCTGCTGTGAGACACACGAGAGGAAAGGCCAGAGGTCATACCAGGCTCAGAACTGGAGATGTAGAGCCCGTGGGGTGGGGTGGGGGGAGGGACTGGCAACAAAGTCTTCCACAACCAAGATGTAAACCCTCCCCTCTCCCTCCAGTCCCTTCTCTGCACTGTGGTCAGATATGAGAGCTTTGGGGGTAACTGGGGGGCTCAGTGAGCTAAGTATCCAACTTTGGCTCAGGTCATGATATTGCAGTTCACGACTTCAAGCCCCACCTCGGACTCTGTGCTGACAGCTCAGAGCCTGAAGCCTGCTTTGGATTTTGTATCTCCCTCTCTCTCTGCCCCATCCCCACTCATGCTCTGTCTCTCTCTGTCTCTGTCTCTCTCTCAGAAATAAATAAACATTAAAAAAAGAAAAGAAATGAGAGCTTTCGGACAGGCTCCTCGGGTAGTCAGGTAAAGCCTCGCAGCCTCGCCAGAAGGGCTCTGTGAGCAGTGTCCCTGTGCAGGTCGTTAGAATGAGAGCAGGCTCCCCGCAGAAGGCCGTTCGTCTGCCCTCGACACCCACGATGGAGACCTTCAGTGACTGTCGATCCCAGATACAGAGAGTCAAGGCTGCCCGCACCCTCAGCCCTGCTGTCTCCTAGCCGAGGACTCCCAGGCTCACTCTCTGCAACCCCCTGCCCCCGCCCCGAGAGAAAGAGCCACCTTTCTGCTCTGATCACCTGCAGTGGGGCTGGTGTCTGGGAGCTGGTGTTTCCATGATCTACCTCCCTGCCAGGTCTGTGAAAACACGTAGGGCCTCTGACTTCCTCTCTGCAGACCTGAAAGAGAGAGAGTGAGAGAGAGAGAGAGAGAGAGCGAGCAGAGATCACCCGAGCTGGCTGGCGTAGGCCAGTGATGGTGCCAGAAGCTTCTGATAAAAGCCGACTGTGAGGGTTTCACGGGGCAGTGTGGGCTGGTCCTAACAACCGGAGACAGAGGCTAACAACCGGAGAAAGTCGGGCTCCCTGGGTGGTAGCTGTCCGTGCACACTCTGCGATGTGACTGTGCAAACCCAGCTCTGTAAAGGCGTCTCTGGGAAGTGATCTCCTGCCTGGTGCAGGGCCCCCCACAGCTCCTCCCCCATGCCCTCAAGGCCTCCCCACAAGCCCTGTCTGACCCCGGCAGCCCAGACCCTCGGCACCCAGGGGCAGGGCGCTGAGACCCCGCCGGGCACCGTCTGTGCCCTGCGTTCCGTTGGGGGACATGCCCCTTGTGCTCCACTGTTGTATTCCGTCACCCACCATGGCCGATGGAGAGCTTTCCGTGTCCTGGGCCCAGCATCAGAACGTGGAGCCATGGAAACGACTATGACCATGCCCTTGGAGCTAATGTGGGAGAGCCTGTGACCAAGAGTGAGTCCCCAAGGGACCAAGGGGCCTCATGAATTGTGATCTACGTGCCCCCTTGAAAAACAGGCAGCTGGCTGGCCTGGCCCATCCTTCGACATCGCTTTCTCTGTAATCAATGCATTTCAGGGTGAATTTCATTGCCACTCGGCTTCCTTGAGGCTGGTAGATAATGTCGCAACTTAGATGCCATCAGTACACATTTCCCGAGCACCTAGTTTCTGCCTACACGACGGCGGGCTTTGTGAGGGACACAAAGGGAGATGACATAGGATAGTTTTCCATGGGAAGGTCTGCTGTCTGCTCTGTGGTGTTCACCTTGGCCTGGAGGGTAAGCAACAGAACCATTTTTGGTGACAACAAAGGCAGGAATGTGAGAAAATAAGAAGTATCCTTGGTTTCCGACATAGGACAGTACCCTCCCCTCCTTGTCGTCTCCCTCCCTCCTCCTCCTCCACCTTCTCCTCCTCCCCTCCTCCTCCTCCACCTACCTGCTCCTCCTCTCCTCCTCCTCCTCTTCCACCTGCTCCTCCTCTCCTCCTCCTCCACCTGCTCCTCTTCTCCTTCGTCTCATTCTCCTCCTCCCCCCTTTTCCTTCTTCTTCTTCTTCACCTCCTCCTCCTCCTTTATGTAAAAATATTTCCAGAAAGAGAACACCCTTAACCCTTTAAAATAGAAATAACATGCGGCATATGGGTGGCTCAATCAGTTCTGCATCCGACTCTTGATTTCAGTTCAGGTCGTGATCTCACAGTTTGTGGGTTTGAGCCCCACATCAGACTCTACAGTGACAGTGCAGAGCCTGCTTGAGATTCTCTCCCCCTCTCTCTCTGCCCTTCCCCTGCTCATATATTCACACGTGCTCTCTCTCTCTTTCAAAATAAATGAACTTAAAAAAAATAGAGACGACACATACTTTGACATGCATGCCTATCTGGACCCAGGGACAGCAGGTGCCTGAGGCTCTGTGTTGAGCAGGCCTCTGAGGTTCAGTCTGGCTTCTGATGCAAAGCCTGTCAGCCTGTCACTTGCTTAATGATGTCTGTTGTGGCTGCCGGAGCCAAAGAGAGCATTCACTACCCCTGCCTTAGCGCAGAGGAGCTTAGGAGAGCTTTTCCCCTGCCATAACAAGAGGGGCTGAGCCAACATTTCCGATCTCACAGAGGGGCCGCTGAAGGAGAGACGCATGAAGTCAGGGCTGTCCCATCTCACCATGGGGCCCTCAGTCTGCCCGCCGTCCGGGCTCTGAGCAGCCTGCAGCAGGAAGCGCCTCACCAGGCCTTCCCACCCCATCTCAGACCCTACTCTCGCAGCGTTTCTGTTCCAGCCTCCTGAACTGTTCTCTTCCAGCCACGTCCAGGTGTGATGGCAAACAAAAAGTGTATACGTTACGTTGCACGATCGGATTTTTTAAGGTGTACCATGCACTGATTTAATGTATACGTTGTGAAATGATTAGCGTGATCAGGTTAACACAGCTGTCAGCTCACATGGTTACCATTTTCTGTGTGGTGAGAACAGGTAAGAACTGCTCTCTTAGCAACGCTCAGGGCGTGGCAGCGCTGTTAGCTACTGTCGCCAGGCTCCACGTTAGGATCCAGAATGTCTTCCCCTTATAGCTGAACGTCTGTACCCTTTGGTACATTTGGTCAATTCTGTCCATTCCTCCCACCCCCCAGCCTGTGGTCACCACTAATCTTCTCTGGTTTCATGAGTCTGGCTTTTGTAGATGCCACATAGCTGTGAGAGCCTGCATACTTGTCTTTCCGTGTCTGGCTTATTTCACTCAGCAAACGGTCCTCTAGTTCATTCCTATTGTCAGAAATGGCAGTCATTCCTTCTACTTTTTTTAAGTTTATTTATTTATTTTGAGAGAGAGAGAGAGAGAGAGAGAGAGAGAATCTCAAGCAGGCTCCACACTGTCAGCGCAGAGTCTGAAATGGGGCTCAATCCCAGAAACTGTGAGATCATGACCTAAGCCGAAATCAAGTCAGTTAACAGACTGAGCCAACAAGGCGCCCCAGAATTTCCTTCTGAAGGCTGAATAATAATCCATTATGCGTGTGTGTGTGTGTGTGTGTGTGTGGTGTGTTACATTTTTTTCATCAATTTATGTCGACGGACCCTTAGGTTTTCTCCGTATCTTGGCTACTGTGAATAATGCTGTAGTGAAGGAAGGAGAGCAGATATCTCTTCCAGATACTGATTACATTTCCTCTTGGACACATACCCAGAAGTGGGATGGCTGGATCACACGATCGTTCTATTTTTAATTTTTTGAGGAAGCTCCACACCATTTTTCATAATGACTATTCCAATTTACATTTTCATGAGCAGAGGACAAGGGCTCCCTTTTCTCCCCACCCTCCCCAATACTTGTCATCTTTTGTCATTTTGATAATAGCCACCGGAGCGGGTGTGAGGTGGTATCTCATTGTGGTTTTGATTTGCATTTTCCCGAGGACTAGTGATATCAAGCACCATTTCTTTTTCTTTTTTTTTTAATGTTTTATTTATTTCTAGGAGAGAGAGAGACAGCGTGAGCAGGGGAGGGTCAGAGAGAGAGGGAGTCACAGACTGAAACAGGCTCCAGGCTCTGAGCTGGCAGTCAGCACAGAGCCCGACGTGGGGCCCGAACCCACGAACCGCGAGATCATGACCCAAGCGAAAGTCGGACGCCTAACCGACTAAGCCACCCAGGCGCCCCTCAAGCACCATTTCATACACCTGTTGGCCATTTGGATGTCTTCTTTGGAAAAATATTTATTCAGGTGCTTTGCCTATTAAAAAAATTGGCTATTAGTGTTTTGTCTTTTTTTCTGCCCCACTGAACTCTTTGCAAAGCCCGGATATCTGTGCTCCTTCTGGACCATAGAACAGCTATGACCATTGTCCCTACCAGGGAACTCTTACATTAGCTCCATCAAGACCTGACTCAAATGTCACTTACTCTGAGAGGCCCTCCCTGATTCCTCTACTAGAGTTGTCATCCCGTCCTCTCTTTACCTGCTGCAGATGCAGCCTGTGCATGGCAACCTTCACTCTCTCACATGTCACCCTTACCCTTTGATGTGGCTTTACTTGCTCATAAGACAGATTTTCATGGGTGCTCTGGGCCCAACTCACAGTTGGTGTGCAAAGATCATTGGTTGATATATGGATGGGTGGATGGGGAATGGGTAGATGGATGGGAGGAAGGAAGGAAGGAAGGAAGGAAGGAAGGAAGGAAGGAAGGAAGGAAGGAAGGAAGGAAGGAAGGAAGGGTGGATGGATGGAAGGATGGATGGGTGGATGGGTGGGTGGATGGATGGATGCCATATTGGTGCTGAGACTCAGCTCAACATTCTTGTGCCTGTGCTTTTCCTTGTCCTGCCTTAACGAATTAATCCAATCTCTATGGCTTCACATACTGAAGGTTAATTTCCCTTCCACAAAGCCCAGTGTGAGTTCCACCCTCTCCTGAGCAGGTGTCTTATATCAACCATGTCTTTTATTTTCTGTGTCCTGATGTTTTCACACCTGGGCCCTTGCCATCCCTGGAGGGACTGACCCTCCCCCAGTTAGCCAGTTCCTGAGGATCCTAAACCACTCACCCAGGAGCACATTTCTCAAATGCAAACCAACCAACCCAGAGCCTACACCCCAACATCCTCCTCCTTGGGGCTTTCACACTCTGGGCCTCTGTCCCCCAGCCCTAATCCCCAGGGACCAGAGCCGGGACAGTCCCCATGCCTCAGAACCCACTGGAATTACCCAGACTGGCTGGTCCTCGGCCTGCTCGACCTGCCTCCATGCTCCTTCCCTCGGAAACCACTAAGGCTCTTCACCAAGCCCCACCTCCCTCCACCTTCTGACTGGCCCTGGGGCTTCCATGTGGTGTCCGTGCCCCCTCCTCTTGGGACTTCGAGTAAAGACTACCTTTCCAATGGTGATCATCTCCTGGGGTCCTGGCCCTGCCATGCCTCACATTTTCTACTAAAACACTGTATTTGAAAACAGTCTTTGGCTCAGTGCCTCAGTCACCCAGGCTGCTCTCCGGGTTGGCTCTACCACCTGACAGGTGGCCCCCACAATTCTGTGGCAGGGAAGAGAGAGTGAAGGCATCCTGCACCAGCTCTTCCGTGCTCCTGCCCGGAATTGGCACATGCCACCTAAGCACACGGAGGTGTGTCCGGGAAATCTGAGAGCAGGGGGTTCACTGTCCCTGCCTCTGGTCTTGACCTTTCCATCTGAATTAAGAATGAATCACCCATCTAGGGTCAATATATGTTTCATTTCATAGCCGTGACACAGTATGATTTCAGAGTACCCTTTGCCATCGATATGACCTAGTTTGTCACCAGAAAATATGGACGCGTAATGTTAACAAAGCAGAGACACCAAGGAGACAAGGCGCAAGGACTGATTAGGCCATAAATGTGCTCCGGCATTAGGGCCATGAGTGAGATTGATGACCTGAGGCCCCAAAAGCTCCCCAGCTCTCACCTCCTGGGCCATTTGGGGACAACAGGTTTAAGCTGCAATGTGATGTGGCCGCAGAGGAAATCTGGTCTGTAACCACCCACTCTGGTAACTACCTTCTTTGGGCGGGGTGCCTCCACAGACTGCTTTTGCTTTTAATGGGGCCACATGTTTTGTGTTTGACCACGATAGGCTCCCAATTATTCATGATCAGGGAGGGGTCAGTGGAAAGGTAAGCATCAGGAATACTTGGAAGCACAGACCCGAGTGGGCTGATAATTCCAGCTTCTTTCTCCCCAGATTATCACCTGTGGTGGCTCAAAGGTTGTAAAATTAACAAAGCATTCACCTCTTCCTTCTCACGCCCTGCTAGATGTGCGAATGGCAGTGATATCAGCCGGCGGGCGGGGGCAGGGGGACCCGATGCAGGCAGCTGGACAGTAAGGAGAAGACAGGGCAGGAGTGGAATCGGTATGGGTCAGGGGCTGTAAGCACATAGTTGCATGTACTCCTCATGCCCACCTTGGAAGGAGCCTCTCATTTTTACAGATGAAGATGCGGTATTCAGAGCGGGTAGGGGACTGCCTGGAACCACACAGGATTCCGGGGGTCATTGTCCTGCCTCCACCCCCAGGCAGGCCCAGCCTGCAGCTTGGCGATGTCACCACGAGGCACCTCACTGGCCGTCAGTTCCACCTTGGCAAGGGTCATGACCCGAGGACGCTCCTAGCCTCTCAGAGGACACCCCTCTTTGCAAGGCTGAGCAACACTGCACACGCTCTCTCTGCAGAGCAATGCACGAGCCGGTGTGCACACACACGCACGTGTTCCACCTGCAACCTCGCAGACTTGCAGGTGTCCAGGCCGAAGTGTAGCTGGTGGGACGTGGGCAGAGCTTCTCCCCAGCCTGGCGCCTGGTGTCAGGTTTCAGGACGCTGACACATACTGTGGTCTGAGAGACAAACATAAGAGGTCATAGCGAGTCGGCAGCACAGGTGACCCCCGGGCAAGGAATCAGTCACATCTCCGTGCAATGCGCTAGCTGTCCCCGCCTCCCAGCTGGCGCCCTCCTCAGCCTCTATGACTGTCCATGGGGCACGGTCCCAAGCGTCACCTCAGCCTCGGTGAGGACCTGCCCACGGCATGGTCAACACTGTCCTCACGCCAGGAAACGTGCTTGGGCCTGACCCAAAGAAGACAAGCTCCATTCAGGAGGGGCTGGGACATCGAAGACCGGATTTGGGTTTTGGCAAAAGGGCTGTGCTTTCCACAGACAGGTGGGGGATGGGGGGCTGGGGCTTGAGGAGAAAACAGCAGCATTGCCTGGTGGCTACTTAGCCTCCTCTGCCTCAGTTTTTCCACCTGTAAAGTGGGAGCAATGTTGCTCTCACCTTTTAGGGCCATTACACCCGCAAAGCCTGGAGAAGGGTACCTGGAGTGTGGGACTCACGACACACACGTGAGGCCCCTGGGTTTCATTCTAGCCTCCACGGCCACAGAGAGGGCTCTGGGGTTGCAGAGAGACTTCCCACTAAATAGCACCCCTCATGTTCCCCTGAGTCCTAAACAAGCTGGATGAGACCAATGAGAGATCAAAGCACTCGCTTCGTTCCCTGTGCACCTGTCAGGTGCGTTTCTCCACCTCCCAGTGGTGTGTGGAGGGAGGCTGGGAGCTCTGCCACGGGGGAGGAATGGTCAGCATTGCGGTCACTGTAAAGGCATCTTCGGTGCCTGTCATGCCAGCCCAGGCCTGCATGGCTCCTGGAAACACCTGTGGTCAGAGATGTTTCTGCATGTTCGTGGCCATCGCTCTGGGAGCCAACTTTGTCTTCCTGCGAACTCCGCCCACAGCACCTGCCAGGTGGACCTGGAAACACAATCTCAGGGGTGCATGAGTGTCACATGAGGCAGTTCTTTCTTCTGGGAAGCCCCTCCTCAGGGGCTCACTACTCTCTTATGTCAGCAGGTGACAGAGGACCACATGCTACCTGCAGCCTCCCAGACGACAACTCAGCAGCTGCCTCTAGACGGATACATCCTGTGCCTTCACAGCCCACAAACCAGTAAGGATGATTTCAGTCACCTTTTGCTGCCTCCAATTTCGTCTTTCAGCAAAACCAAAGTGTCTGTGTTATTAATGAAGTCAAGAAAAGAGAGGGAGGAAAAGCATACGTCCAGCTGAATTCTAGCCTTAGATAAATCGAATCCACTCACAAGAAAGCACTAGACTAGGAAAAATGTTAACAGCTCTCATAGAAAAAAAAAAGATGACTTTCCATAATATATAAAGAGCTCCCACAAATCAAAAAGAAAAGACAAATAAACCATTGGAAAAATGGGCAGCAAACACTGTCACGAGCTGTGTTGGTTGACTGCTGGGACAGCCCGTCCTCCCTCCCCCTTCCTAGGGGATCCAGGGTGGCTCAGGGCCACCTCCATGCCCCCAGTGTCCTGGAGTCTGGATTCCTTGAGGCCCATCACAGTGGGTCATTCTCCTTGCTTGGGTTCACAGATAGAATGGGTGATGGCGGGTGATGCTGTCAGTCCCATCTGCTAGGAGAGGTGGGAATGGGGCTTCCAGGAAAGCTTTTTCTCAACCTCAGAAAGAGACACTGAAGGGCTCCTGGGCAGCTCACTGGGCTAAGCATCTGACTCTTGGTTTTGGCTCAGGTCATGGTTTCATGATTTGTGGGTTCGAGTCCCACATTGGGCTTCACATGGACATAGCAGAGTCTGCTTGGGATTCTTTCTCTCTTCCTCTCTCTGCCCCTCCCCTGCTCGTGCACTCACGTGCTCTCTCTCTCTTAAAAGAACTAAACTAAAAAAAAAGAAAGATAAAAGGGCACCTGGGTGGCTCAGTTGGTTAAGTGTCTGACTTCAGCTCAGGTCATGATCTCACAGTTTGTGGGTTCAAGCCCTACATTGGGCCCTGTACTGACAGCTCAGAGCCCGGAGCTGCTTCAGATTCTGTCTCCCTCTCTCTCTGCCCCATCCCTGCTTGTGCTCTGTCTCTCTGTCTCAAAAATAAATAGACATTTTTTAAATTTTTTAATTAAAAAAAAGAAGATACTGTTGAAGCCAGTTGAGTCACATTTTTCTGTTCCTTGCTCCCCAGTGCATCCTAAATAACACAGATACGAGCAGGCACTTTTATAGATGAGATATGATCGGCCAATAAACATATGAAAATATGTTCAGCCAAAGTAGTTAAACAGGAAAATGCAAATTGCAGTAGCAGTGATATAATTTGTGCGTATCAGATCGGCAAAGAGTAGAAAGATTGATAACAGGTCGTTCTGGTGAGGCTGTGATGTACGGGAGCTCTCGCACACCACGGCAGGAAGTAAGTGCTCCTACAGCCTTTGCGGAGGACAGGTTGACGGAATCTCTCAGTGTAGGTGCACCCTTCCAGCAACAGTGCCAATTCAACCTGTTTTGCAGAAACACTTGCACCAATCTAGTGAGGGACAAGTCACTGGAAAGATGTTGATTTGGAGCAGCAGCAGCAGCACAAACAGGTCCAAACTGGTCCCAATTGCTTCCAAGAAGGACTTGGGTAAATAAACTGTGATGCACTGATGCTATGGAAAACTATGCGGCTGCAAGAAGGAGTCTCATAACTAAGTGTGCAGACATGGAAAAAAAAAACACAGAACACAAGACAAGGAGTAAAAGTTCAGTGAAAAACAAGTCCTGGAATAGTGCAAACAGTACAATCGCACTTACGTAAAAGCTTATCTCTGAACGTACAATACTTGCGCGTGGACACATGTTCAGATCCATCAATGAGAAACTATAAACGGACAGGCTGAAGGATTAACAGTGCTTCCTCTGTAGAGAGAAAGTGGGGAGGTGGGAATAAGGAGGGGCTTTAACATTTTCTTCCATGTTCTGTTTGAAAAACTTGCGTACAGTGTATTACTGTATTGTGTGGTTTCTTAAACATGCAAGCCGCTCATGACGTTCAAAGTCAATATATAAAAGGGATGTGTTATGGGAAAAAGAGTTCATTGTGCAAGGAGCAGTTCTGCAGCCCTGGCTCCTCCCAGGCTGGTCCTCCTTCACCGCCGCGTGCTGTTCCAGCCAGTGAGGGAACTCCACCAGCCCTCAGGCCGCCGGGCGAGGTCAGTGCCCACAATTTCTCAGCCCGGGACCCAGCGGAGCCTGAGAACAGAGACCTGGCGGGCAGGACCCCACAGCCGGCCGCCCCCCAGGCCTCCACCGGAGCAAACGTCAGTCACACATTCCTCCCCACCTCCCAGCGGCTTCCTACCTGGTGCCGCCCCTGGGGCCCAGCCTCGGCTTGAAGCCAGCTGTCCCGAGAGACAGCCACATGCCTGAGCCTCATGACTGATCTCCTGCCGCCTGGCTGGAAACCTGTCTTCTGGCTGTTTTGTTTGTCTTTGGGGGCCCCTGACACTCTGGCGTAGTGGGGGGTCGCTTACCTTGTGGGAGGGGTGCCCAACTCAAGACGTGCGGTGGGCTTCATTCACTTGCCAGGGGTTCTGAGCGAAGAGCTCTCCCTGCACCAGTCAGGAGGTTCAGAAACTTGGTACCTAGAGAAATACTCATGTGTTGTGTCTTCTGCACGTCCACGTTTCTCACATCACAGCCACTTCAGCCAGGGGCCTGAGCAATGTCCCCTAGTCTTAGAAACTTCAATGTCCTTACATGTGAAATGGGGCTAGGAACGCTTGACTTGCAGAGTTGAGGAGGGGATGAAGTGAGCTAATGCACAATGTAAAGGCTAGGGTGAGGGACGGGGGCCCAGAGGACAGATGGCTTGACCCAGCCCAGGCATCCAGGAGGGCTTCCTGAGGGAGGGAGCAGACAGCTGAGGTTTGAAGGCTGTGTCAGTTATTATTGCCATGTAAGAAAACACCCCAGCCTAATGGAGGGAAAGACCCAATTCACCGTCACAGACTCTGAGCCAGGAATTTGGACAAAGTGCAATAGACCTGGCCCCTGCCACCCTCCACTCCCTTTGGGAGACTTGAAGCCCGGGCATGGCTGGGGAGGACTCATCTGGAGGCACCTTCCCTCACGTGTGTGGTGGTTGGTGCTGGCTGCTGGCTGGGACCTCAGCTGTGCTGTGGGCTGGAAGGCGGGCCCGCGGCCTCTCCCCTGGTCTCTCCGCCTGGCAGCTCAGTTCCAAGAGTGAACGTCCCAAGAACCGAGTGGAAACTTTGTCACCTTCTAAAACCTACCCTTGACAGTCACATAACATTGCTTCTGCCAGTTGTAGCCACCCAGATTCAAAGGCATAGACCCCACCGTAGATGAAAGAACTGTCATTGTAAGAAGATCCTGTGAAATGAGAGATACTGTTACTGCCTTTTGTTCATTTGTTTTGAGAATATAATCTGCCACGAAGGGCAGTAGCAAGTTGGAAGTATCTATTCCAGACAATACGGGTGGGGGCATGTTCCCTTGGCCACCTGGGACTGTTGTGCAGGTCATGCACTGCACAAAGGCACCCTGCCAAGAGGGCAAGTGGGAGCTGGAATCCATCCTGTCCTCCATTCCCTTAGCTCTATGCTCATCACAAAGCAGCCTCAGCTGAGAGGAAGGAGACTCTTCCTTTGAGCAGATCATTGTCCACTCACTAGGGGGAGTGTCCGCAGAGCTGTGCACACTCAGGGAGCACACTTTCCCGATATCCATCAGTAACCACATGGACCAGCTGTGGTCCCGGTTGAGCTTGTCCTGGGGAAGGTGAACAGAACTAGAGGCTGGAACAGGAGGTGGGGGAGGGGAGAAGAGGAGAGAAGACTGGATGGTAGGGAGGGAAAGGGAGAAGGTGGGGAAGGGAGGGGAAGGCAGTGCAGGGGAAGGGAGGGCAGAGGAGGTCCGAGCCTGGAGGTTCAGCTGAGCCCCAGGGGCCCTGCTCCTCTGTAGTCTCCACCTCCCCAAACATACTCACCCAGAAAGTTAATTTCCATCTCATTTCTGCCTGCTCTGGCCAGGATTCTAGCTTGTTCTGGTCCCAAATATGATGCTCCCAACATTGCCTAGGGGTCAGTGCAAACACAGAGCAAATGCTAGACTGACCAGAGAAGCACAGGTCAGACCGGGGCCAAGAAACCCGGGCTTCAGGTCTCAGCGAGAACACAGCCGTCCTGGGCAAGAGAAGGAAAGTGCCGGGCCCGGATGTCTCTCCTCAAAAGATTCGGAAGAGCATCCATCAGAGGCCCTGGGTGCCTCCTTCTGAAACAGGAGGAGAGAACTCTGCGTCCCTTTGCTTAGTGTTTTTTTCCCAATTTCCCTTTACGGAGATGGGACTAAATGGAAGATGGCTCAGCACTATAAAAATAAAGCCAGGTCTCATGTTGGAGCTTCACAGAGCCCGCGCTCAAAATGGGAGACACAAAAGCTATTTATACAGTGAAGGGAGCCTTTCAGTAAGAAACTTACAACCGGTGTTTAGAGTTAATTTAGTGCCTTGTCTGCTCCAAGGACATATGCTATGTGTCTGGAATGATGACACTTCCGACACCGTATGTGCACGTGTGATGTGTCCGGAAGGAGCCTGGAGCCTCCTGGCTCACAGAACCCTGCATGCTCCGCTTGGCGTGTCGGTGACGATCACACCTCCCCAAGTGTGTGAACGCCTCCAGTGCGTCTAGAATCCCAGAGTCTTTGGAAATACGTGGGCATATGGCACGCGTCTCACATTTTGGCACCGGGCTCAGAACATAAGCGGTGGTGTGCGGTCCGGAGTCAGGCAGAGGGGAACTCACACCACCTTCCCTGTCTCCACTTCACACGGTGTGGCGATTCCCAGCTCAGAGGAGACTGGTGGACGTTTCCGGGGCCTGATCCGAATGTACTGGAGGCTGCGGAGGGGCCGCTGCAAGCAGACACGGGGAGGCGGCGGTGGGGACCCACCTGTTCCATATCTGGCACCCCCTCCCCAGTTTCACCTCTGAGGCTGCAGATCTCAGAGTGGCGGGGGTGAGGAGCAGAAAGATAGAATCATCACAGTCTATACGGAAGCACAGGCTGGGCCCTCACACACTGTTCTGGAAGGAATTGGGGACAGTGGCGGTTGTCACCAACCAAGTATGGACTCATTGTCCCCATGACAACCCGAGAAGCCCCACAACCCTTCACTACATTCCCTGTGGGGGCCACATCCAAATTCTTTCAGCAAATACCTACCGGGCACCCTTGCAGCAGTTAGTCACACAGAAAAGAACAGGAGAACCAAACACCGACTTCATGGGGCCAAAGTGAGGATTTCATGAGCGTGCAGGGGGGTACAGGGAGGGGAGGGCTCCCTCCCGGTCCTGACGCCCATTTCCCCCACCCCGCCCAGAGGTGGATGTTGTCAATGCTTGCGTCTCCTTCCGGAAGTCATAGCTGTACCTGTATCTCTGCTCTTACATGCTTTTCACACACGCACATATGCACACACCTGCACGCACACACACACCTATATAATACCTTCAACTTCAGAATGGCTAGTGAATCATGATTCCTTGGGTGCCTTGACTTTGAGGAGAAAAAGCACTATGCATTGGAGACTGTTCCGTGTAGGCACATAAAGGACTTCCTTACTCGTCTCCATGGAGGAAAAGGACCTTCACTTTGTCACGCAGACCCCTACTGATTTGGGCTGTTCTCTGCTAGGGGCTGATTCCTGCAATGTTGTAAAGAACACGCTGTACACCTGCTTCTGGGTGCCCGTGTGAACACATCTGGAGGACAGCTGTCTGGCAGAGGACAAGCTGGCTCAGGAAGCAGGGGAATCCGGCATTAGGATAAGTGTCCGCCAACGACCTTCCTGAGAGCCTGTGTCCTCCTCGTATGCCCCGACTCCCGGTGTGCACGATATCATGCCACAGGACTGCCGCAGCAAATGACCGGAGGCTGGAGCTTAAAACAGCAGAAATACAACCTCTTCCAGTTCCGGAGGCCAGAGGCCAAGGTCAGGTGTCAGCAGGATAGGCTCCCTCCGGAGGCCTCAAGGGACAAGCTAGCCAGGGTCTCTGTCCCAGCACCTGCTGTTCCCGGGTTCCCAGGCTGGTGGACACATCACTCCAGTCTGTGGTTGTGCCTTGTCTCCCATTGTCACATGTCCACACTTCCTGTGTCTTTTGAGGACACCATCCACTGGATGGGGGACCATGCTAACCCAAAATGACCTCCTCACCACCTGATTATATTTGCAGAGACCCTATTTCTAAACAAGGCCACATTTGCAGGTACCGTGAGTTAAGGCTTCAACTTTCTTTTGGGGAGAGTGCGATTCAAACCCACAGCAGAGGTGTCCCCAAACGCTTTTACCTTTGCCTCTCCGAGGGACGCTGGTACCTCTTACAGGAGAGTGGAGCCCGGCTGATCGTGGAAATCCCACCACATGCTCCCAGCTGCCTCGTCAGCCACCCCTGACCCCTGAGGTCCTCATCTGTTCTTCTCAGAGGTCTCCAAGGCACGTTCACTGGTGGGGCTGGCGGTGGGGAGGTGGGAGCAGTGGGGCTTGGGCCGCGGTGTCACCAGATGCCCCCCCCAACTCCCCAGACCTGCTGCTGCCTGCGGAGTCTCTGCCAACACCGATGCCTGGTCCAACGGAGTCGCATTAACCGCGAGCGTGAATTCCACAGTCCTGCGAAGCTGACAATCACATCCAGCCAAAGTGAGGCTTGGA